AGTGAGCAGTGGGGAGCCAGTTTGCTGGGCACAGACAAGACCCTGTGCTCAGGCATCAGCCATTTCAGCAGCCTGCAGCCTGGCCTGGCACACACTCTCAAGCCTGTGCTCAAGAGGTCCTGGCTGATAGGTGGGATGACATGGGGGGGATGACGTGGCAAAGAGAAGGGCGGACGGAAGTGGATGGCGATGGCTGGGGGGCTTTCCACAAAGGCAAAGGTGTGATCTCCTGGGGAGGTGATGAAAAACACCTTGTCACAGGGGTCCGAACAAAGGGGAAAACTTAAAGGTGTTTTTAACTCCGGCTGGTGACAAGGCTACCCCTGGCCCAGGGCCGGTGGGCTGGGCTTGGAGAGCCATGTGGCCAGGCCCCTAGCTGTTGCTCTACAGATCCTGACTGGGGGCACAGACACTGAAAGCGTCTGCCCTTCCCTGCTCTGACCTTAGCCCTCGAGGAAGCCAAGCAGTGGACTCACCTGCCCACTAACTCCCGGCTCAGATACCCGCTTCCCCTAAGGTCACCTTTCAAGGTCAGCAGGTTGTGGGCAGCCTAGCCCTCCTTTCCACCACCTTCTCTCTTCCTCTCTCCTCCCCCAGCAACACCAACACACCCCACTGGGCAGAGCCCCCAGGTGCTCCAGACAACCTGGGTAACATCTGTTTGCAGTCACAGTGGTGTGAGAATGTACAGTCACACAGCATGCCTTGCCTTGGCTGTGTGCCTCTGTATTCATTCCTCAAATTGCATTAAGTTGTCAGTCAACAGATGTGGCCAAACCACTCTCCCCACCCCCATCACTGAAACTGCCAGTGCCTTTGAAGAGAGAGGAGTGGGGTGATGAGATGGTTTGGGGAGATGGGGCTTGGGGACTTTCCTGGTTGCAAACCCTCCCCTTTATACATGGGGCAGGATCCAGGAACCTCCCCAAGGTCAGGAAGTCGCCAGCACCCACTCCTGCCCAGCCAGGCCTCTGCCTCACCCAGAGCTCCTGTGAGCTCCAGCAGCTTGCTCCCAGCCTGCCCTGCAGGGTGGGGGTTGGGGGAGGAAATGCCCACCTGGAGGGGCTCAGGGCTGGGTGTGGGGATGGTGTGACCTGGCAGGGCCCTGTCTTTTTAGGAATCGCTCTAGAAAACATTCTGCCGTATTGGCTTTACTGACTGATGTTGGAATGGCTGTTGCCACGGCAGCAGAGGCCTCCACTGCAGCAGAGGATGGTGGGAGACTCAAGGGATGCGAAAGGAATCAAGAAAGAGCCAGAGAGAGGGAGAGGTCGCATTAGGCAGCATCTGAAAGTTCCAGAATGCCAAGAGGACTATTTAAAGGGACCACCACATGGCTATGGCAGGACCCTCTCTGGAGAGTGACAGTGGGAAGATGAGCAGTACCAGGTGGCCAGAGAGAGGACTGGCATTCAAGGGATCAGCGCTGAATTAACTCAGGAGACGAGTATGGAAGTTTTCCATCTCATGAGTTGACAGGCCTTTTCATGCAGGAGAGAGGATAGCGGTTTGGATGACATGGGGTGGCTGCTTGTGCCTCTCCTCTGGGCAACCCTCTCTTCCTGAAGGAGGCAGAATTTCAGCAGCTGTTTATCAAAGGAAAGGAAAGGGCTTGGGATTTGGGGCATATGCCATCCCTTGAGAGGAGGCACAGAGGAACAAAGAGGGGGGAAGGGATGAGGCCAAGGAGCAGGAACAAATGAGGGAGTGAGACAATGAGGGAGAAATAAGTTCAAGCCCTGGGGAGGCAGCGGCGGGCATCCATGACCAGGAAGTGCAGGTGGACAGAGCAACTAGTGGAATGGCATTTCCCAGCATTTTGATGGGAGCGAACCTGCAGCCATGTATCCTACAAAGCAGAGACAAGAGGCCAAATTAACCAAGGGGGGAGAGGGTCCGGTGTGCTTACAGCAGTACACACTGGGTGGAATGAACCCCAGTGGAAATAATGATTTTCAGCGCAACTGGTTAATTTCTCCTTGTCTGCTAAGGAGGAGATGACCCTATATGCAGGAAAATACATGAAACATAACCTGGTGAATCAGAGAGTAAGTGTCTCACATCCTCAAACTGCTATTTTCAGAAAGGTGAGGTTCTCTTGTTACTGACTTAGGTGTGTCTTGTGCCAGTTAGAGAATGACGTCTTAGTAAGGGTGAGGACTTTAGAAGTGATTGTGATTTCATTAAAGGTGGCCTGTGGGATGCGAGAAGGGTGTGGTTACCCAGAGATTTGGCACCACTGTTGGGGCTCCCCCCCTGCCTTGACCTGGGATCTTAGATTTGGGCATAAGCATGAGTACCTCATGTGTGCCCGGAGGAAAAAGTCCCATGACTGGCCTTATCCTCAGGCCCGCTCTGTGCCAGGGCCAAGTTCTAGTGTGCAGCCACGTAAGTCCCTTTAGCCAGATCCATATTGCTTGTCCTTCCTTATGTGAGATCACAAGCCTTCCTTCATTCCACTCCTGCATTTCCCGCATGCTGGACGCAGGTTCCAAGGCCGGTCTGCACTGTGCCCTCTGCCCAGGATCTTCTGGTAAACTTTTGTGCCCAAGTCCTTTCCTCCTCCCCTTTGGAGGCATTGCCAGTGCTGCGCAGGCATGACCCTGAACAACCTCCTCCTTTCTACTCTCCTGGCCTAAGCCCTTCTGTACTTATACGGCACAGATTCCCAGAAGCCTTCAAGATTTCCTCCAACTAGTCTTCCTGGCCGCACAATCTCTTACTCCTGTACTCGTGTGTATTCAGCGTCTACTAAGTGCCAGACTCTGGGGTTACAGCAGTGAATGAGACATCCAGGGGCCCTGCTCTCCGGGGTTCAGAGTCTCCCTCTTGTCTTTCGTGGAATTGGTGCACACATACCTATGTGCGTCTGTGATGAATGTGTTGATGTATGTGACACTGCATTTTCACAGGGACAGGATTATTTCCCCCAGAACTTATCTGTTATGTATTCCTGCCACACACTGAGTTTCTGGAGGGCAGAATCTCCATCTTTCTATGTATCTCTAAGGCCCAAGCAAGGGTGCATGCTTCTTACCCAACACCCCTCTGCTGGAGAACTCTGTTCTCAGTGCTGTGGGAAGCATATTCTCTCTGCTATGATCCTGGTCCTTGCAGATTTTATGGTATCTCAATCCAGCCCTGGAATTATGGAAGGCAGAGCCCTGGGGGCACTATCAGGACCCAAGAGTTGTGCAGGGCACAGAGCCAGTGTAGAGCACTCAGGCCTCAAAGTCCATCTTCCAACACATCCATGCACGGTGCTGAGAGACCCAGTTCTGCATGCAAACAGCCCTGGGGCTGGTGGGGGAGACAGACACCCGCACCCATACCTCACACCAGGGTATGGGAGAGTGGGTGAGCCGTGGGTCAGGTACAGGGTTCTTCAGATTCTGGGGGCAGGGAGTAGGGAGCTATCAAGATGGAGGTTGGGGAATGGGTCGGGGAGATAGGCTGATGGCTGGCACATCCTGGCCAAGAGTTCCTAGAGCTTCACAGTCCCCAGTGTGTGGCCCCACATCGGGCCTGGCCCCTCCTGGAGCAGGCTTTGCTTTCAGAGACTTTTGCTCCAATTTCTCCTGTCCCTCACTTTCTTGCCTGAGAACCATTTGCTCAGGCAACTTGGCCCTGACTTGGGAGGCCTTGGGAGGCTAAGCCATGTGGACCGGCTAGGGAGGGACAGCCCTGGGCAAATCGTTGGGCCTGCTCCGTGGGCCTCTTGGGCCCCCGCCCACTTTCACCCTCTTCCCTGGGCCAAGGTAGAAGGGGAGAGAGAAGGGCTAGGAAAATGTTGTCTGCTATTTGAAGCCCCACTTTAGCTCTGGCAGGCAAAGGACCAATTCTCAGCTACCTGATTTCCTAGGGTTGACAGAATCCTTTACCTATGGAGCTGGTATTATAACCACTGTCAGAGATGACACAGGGCCAAAGGGGGCAATGACTTTGACAAGGTCATGCAGTCAATGAGAATGGGAACCCAATCTCCTCATGCCAAGGGTTAGTCCTCTCCTACCAAGCCCTTGGCCTCCTCCCCAGCCAATGCTGGGCCATCTCTCCAAGCCACTACTGTCCCCTCCCCTCCCCCTACCTCGGGAGGGCAGCCTTGTGCCTCAGAGACTGAAGGAAGGGGGACCCGGCAGTTTCCCTCCAGGAAATGGTTTGGGGCCAGGTCGGGGGTGGGGTGGGGTGGGGTGGGGGTGAACAGTAACCTCCCTCTCCCAACATCTCTCCCCAGGCCCCAGCCCCCCACTCTCCCTCCCGCATCCTGAGCCATCCGGTCTCGGTCCCTTTTACCTGCACCCCTGCATCTCAATAGATCCATTCCACAGCACCCCCTACTCCAGGCACGTCAGGGGGCCACCGGTACCCTCCTGGGAACTGCCCCGCCTGTGCGTGGAAACTAAGAAAAATTGGTCGGATCATTTATCCCCCCCTACCCCCTACTCATCCGCCCCTGGATCTCTGCTGCAAATACCACCCCCTCCGGAGCCAGAAATAGACACGTAGTCTCAGCCACCTCCTCCCCGCCTCCTGCTCGCTGCCCCGCCCGCCCCTCCCCTCCTGCCCCCGCGCGGAGCTGCAGCCCGCAGCCTGCACTCGAGCTGGCGGGCGGGCGGAGTGTTGCGAGGGCGCTGCCCGGCAGAGCGCCGCCCGCGAGACTGACAGGCGGGCCGGCGGGGACCCGGGACCCGGGCGCGGAAGCACCTTCGAGCGCCCGCGGAGCCGCGGCGCTTCCATTCTGCTTTTTATTGATTTTTAAATTTTAATTTGTCTTCCCCCGCCCCGCCCCTTTCCCTCCGACCCCGCCCCGCCGCTGCGCGGATTCCCTGCTCCTTCCTTTACCCCGCTTCCCTCGTGCGTTTCTCTCCCCCGCGCCCTCGGCCTCGCCTCCGATCCCCCTCCCTCGCTCCCTCCCCCTTCCTCCCCCCGTCTTCCCCGGTTTCTTCCGTCCTCCCCCCCCCGCCTCCGCCTCCCCGCGCTCCCCCCACCCCGCCCCCTAGTGCCTGCAGACGCGCGGATCGTCCATGCGCTCCTCGCGGGCAGAATGCTGGGCAGCAGCGTCAAGAGCGCGCAGCCCGAGGTGGAACTGAGCGGCGGCGGCGACGAGGGCGCGGACGAGCCCCGGGGCGCGGGTAGGAAGGCGGCCGCGGCGGACGGCAAAGGCATGCTGCCCAAGCGCGCCAAGGCGCCCGGCGGCGGCGGCGGCGTGGCCAAGGCCAGCGCGGCCGAGCTGAGGGTCTTCAAGTCCGGCAGCGTGGACGGCCGAGCCCCCGGCGGACCGCCGGCCTCCAACCTGCGCAAGCAGAAGTCGCTCACCAACCTCTCCTTCCTCACGGACTCCGAGAAAAAGCTGCAGCTCTATGAGCCCGAGTGGAGCGACGATATGGCCAAGGCGCCCAGGGGCTTGGCTAAGGCGGGGTCCAAAGGCCGCGAGGCTCCGCTCATGTCCAGGACACTGTCCAAATCGGAGCACTCGCTCTTCCAGGCCAAGGGCGTCCCGGCAGGCGGTGCCAAGACCCCTCTGGCCCCGCTTGCGCCCACCTTGGGAAAGCCGAGCCGGATCCCGCGCGGCCCCTACGCCGAGGTCAAGCCGCTGAGCAAGGCTCCTGAGGCTGCCGTGAGCGACGACGGCAAGTCGGACGACGAGCTGCTCTCCAGCAAGGTCAAGGCACAGAAGGGCTCCGGGCCCGGGCCCGCTGCCAAAGGCCAGGAGGAGCGCGCCTTCCTCAAGGTGGACCCCGAGCTCGTGGTGACCGTGCTGGGAGACTTGGAGCAGCTGCTGTTCAGCCAGATGCTGGGTAAGGCCTGCCTCCCTGCCCCACCCCTGGCCGCCTCCTAGCCAGCTGCAAGGAAAGGTGTGCGGAAAGCGCGGCTCCCTCTTGTTCTCCTCCTGGTAGGGTTTTCCAGGTCTCAGTCGGGTTGTGAGGGGCATTGCGCCCAGAAGTGCGGGGCTGGACCGCCTCCAGATACGCATGGCTAACGTGCGTCTTCTTTAAGATGTCACCAGGTGGGCGCCCAGACTCAGCTCTGGCCTGCCTGAGGTGAGGCTGGACAATGGGGTGGGGGTCATAGATTCTCAGAAATAGAGCCCATTAGCGTCCTCGGATTTAAAGTCCAGAATCCTAATGTGGCAAAATCTGGGTGGGTGGAAACCTCAGTTGTGTTGCGGTCTGTGCTCCGCAGGAGAGCAGCCAGCCAGCATTGCTCGGAGAGCTTCCAGGGAGAGCCCGAATCTAGAGGACAGAGGTGGAGAGAGCAGCTGTGAGGGCTGCTTGGCCCCGGAACAGAGCTGAGGCTCCACTTCCTCTGTGGATCCCCAGTGGGGGCACGAGTCGGATTTCCCGGGTGTGGGGGTTCTGGCAAGGAGACGCGTCTGGGGCCAGGGGGCGGGCGAGCGGCCAGCTGCGCGCATCTGGATGCGCGTCCTGTATCTCTGCCGCGGCTCTAGCCCAAACCCCTACCCCCAGATTTTTTAGAACGGAAAGATCAGGGCTTTCGCGCCGAGACTCGGGTTGATTGGGAAGCCTTTGCCCTCTGGCTGATGGAAGCCGTGCGGGCGGGAAGGGAAGAACAAAGCTTGCTCGGGCGGAGGAAGCGCAGAGCTGCTCCATTGTTCTCCGAGTCTGAGGAGTCTAGGCAAAAAACCCGGAGCAGCCCGGAACTGCGCTTGCTTCCCGCGGCGAGCCCTGGCCCTGCGAGGAATAGATCCGGGATGTGCAGGACGCAAGGCCGCCGTGCCTCGGGAGCCTGCACGGGCCGTGCCGGGGCCACGGGAGGACGGCGGCGGGGCCTGGAGCCCGGGAGGGGCGCCGTGGCTCCGCAGACTTGTTGCGGTGGTGGGGATGTGGATCCTGCGGCGCCGAGGGACCCGAGCTTCCCGGGTACCGGGCAAGCTGCCCGCCCCGCTGGGGGCTGGGAAGGGGCGTATCCGTGTGTGTGTGAAGGGGCGGGGCCGACGCGGGCTGCGGTCCGAGAGACTGGCCGGAGGAGCTGCGGCGGTGGGCTGGCTGCTGGGAGGGGAGCTGGGCTGGCGGCGCTGCAGAATGCGGACCTGGGGGAGACTGGTTCGACTCGCTGCAGTCTTCCCAGGACCCCCAGACTCCGGCGTGGCCCAGGATGAGGGACCCCTGACCAGGGGCAAGGATTTGGAGCTTGGGATGCATAAGGCCTTCGCAGGGCCAATCAGGCAACTCGGGGTGGGCGGTGTAGACTGACGCGTCCCAAGTTGGCAGACAGTGTGTGCCGCCCCATGCCGAATGCTGCCCTCAAGGAGCTTACAGTCCAATAGATTGAGACAGACAAAGGAAGGGAGAAATAAAATAATTTCAGGCACCATGGGGGTTATGGAGGAAATGGCCGGAGCCATGCTTTAGGCGGGACTGAGAGGCCACTCAATGGAACTGAAAATTGAATTGCGACTGAGGCGAGACAAGGAGACACAGGCAGACAGGGAGGAATATTCCCGAGGGACTAAGAGGGTGGCGATGCAGGCCTTTCCAAGGTCCGGGCTTCCTCTGCTCGGGATGAGTTTGCTGATCTGGGCAAGGCATAGCGCTGCCCAGGACTGGCCGCCTGGTTGAAGTCCTCTTAGTTGCTTCTCCAGAGGCAGTAACCACAGAAAGCCGACGCACGGTCCTAGGCTGCCAGGGAGAGCCGGAGGGGGGGTGCTGGGCTGTGCGCCCTTGCTCAGCAGTTGTCACTTCTCGCAACACACTGAGGGGGTAGCCTCTCAGCAACTTTGGAGATGGAGAAAACTCCACTTGCATTGGAAATTACCAATTTCCAGTTGGGGAAATGCCCGGTAACAAGCACTGAGGGAGGCGTCTGCTTTAGGCCGTGAGTCGCTGGTAGAAGGCAGATTCTGCAGGCAGCTCCTGATTCCTACGTCACAGTCTCTCTAGGAGACCTGATTGAGGGAGGAGAGTCAGCAGGTAATAAGAAATCTGGCCAGGGCAAGTGTCTGTTGGGCATGGTCCACCAGACCAGCCCTGACAACCCCCCAGCGGGGCAGAGGTGCTTAGCCTGGGGGTGCAGCGAGAAGGGTGGAAAGGCTGGTAGGATGCTGGATGGGCTCTGGCTCTGAGGACCCCAGGTGGGGGCACAGGGTGTGGGTAGGAAGGAGGGCAGTGCTTGCATCACATGAAGGGGTGGAAGACATGGGGGAGCTGGTGACCTCCAGGCAGATTTGTCTCCTGCCTGAAGGTGGGGCTGGGGGTGGAGGGTGGACTGACTGGTGAGTTGGGAGGGGACAGCAGAGCCAGATCAGTCTCCTCAAGCACATGAAGGCATTCTTGGCTGTCAGGACCCGTCTGGAGGACCTCAGAGCAGGGTGGCCTTTGAGAAGAATGTCTTCCTTGATGCTTAGGATGGTGGCTAAAGACACAGGGCATTTGTTCTTCACCCGTGAGGCTCAGCATCAGGTTACACGCACTTCCAAGCACCATCCCAGTTGCAAGAAGCTGCCAAGGCCCAATTTCTTGGGGGAGAGAGGGTGAGGCAGCCCCAAATAAGAGCCCTTCTGGAATGAAAGGGAAGAGCTGAAACCTGATCGTGCTCTTTCCAGAAATCAGCTGGGGCCCAGATGGTCTCAGCAGGCTCCCTGCCCCTTCCCTCACTTTGGAAGCTGCCAGATAACCAGGGTCCCACTGGAGAACCCTAGAAACTTGGAACAGTGGGGGTGAGTGTCTGGGGGAAATGGGCCATCCCCAGGAATCAGATGCCTTTGGACCCAGCGGATAGTTCCCATCAGGCAGTTTGGCTCCCAGAGGAAAGGCCTGGGGCAGGGGCAGGGGCAGGGTGGGGGGCTACAATCCCGAGTTCCCTGTCTGCAACTCCTATGGTCTGTGACCTCCTGTGGGACTCAGTTTCCCCATTTGTGAATGGAAAGAGACCTTCCCATGGCTCTTCCTAACCTGTAGGGATGGGGGAGAGGGGTGCAGGTTAAAGTCGGCAGACTTGGAAGATGTCCCAGGTGGCTTAAGGAGAGCCTGCATTGATACAGAACGGTTAGTCACAGTACCATCCCAAACCTCTCTCCTACTCCATCAACCCTGGGCCTAAGGATCTCAAAGCAAAGTCAGTCTGTTGACTCCCCACATATTCAGTATCCCCTCTTTAATTTCTTCAAGTAAAGGGACAGACTGGGACAGCTGAGACAGCCCAAGGTCAGGGTGTGAAGGACCCCAGGCCACTGCAGCTCCTGGTTCCACTTCCTCTTGGAAGGTGTCTGGGCCCCTGTGAGAGGTTGCCATGACAACAGTTAGGCCCTTAAAGGCACAGGCCAAACAGCAGGAGAAGGAAGTTAGGAAGTATCCATTTATAAGTCAATTGGTTGATGTGGGTTTTTGTGTTTTGGGGGAGGTGGGTATTGGGAGGGAGGTATTTACATGCAAATGTTTTCTGGGCTGCTTTAAATAAGGGGAGGGAAAAAATGGCTTCTCAGTTTTTTCCTCCCTTTTTATTCCCTTTTTATTTAATGCACTGGGATGTCGGGGTGGGTAGAGCAGTTATTGTGAGTTCTCCAAAGAACTGATGCCCTGAGTAGACAGGTGATCTGTGCGAGCTTGCCCAGCACTCTTGTGTCAGGGGCTGCACACCCAGAGCCATACCTGATGCCTTCCCAGGGGCTCTGCTGAGGCCTAGCTGGAGCGTGAGGACAGAGCTCAGGTCTAGCCTACCGCTGAGCCCAGCAGGAGGAGAGATGCCGCATGATGCTTGTAGGACCATAGGCTGAAGGTGGGGCTGTGGCAGACGCGGGGGGTCTGCAGGGGAGCATGAAGCATTTGGCACAGAACCTCCCAGCTGTGAGGCCCCGTGTCTCCCTCAAGGTCAGCACCGAGGAGAACGTTCCTCACCATGTCCAGAACTGCCTCTTTAAGCCTAGGCTCAGGGCTCTGCAGCGGCCCCCCCACCGGCCCCGTTCTCTCCCTCGGGTCATCGCCATCGTCAGATGGCTGCAGCCAGAGCTGCTCTCTTCCCGTGGCAGCCACAGCTCTGCTTCGGGGAGTCACGAAGGGATGGATGAGTAGGTCTTTGGGGCAGTTCCTCTGCTCTGGGGAGAAGTATATACAGAGCTGAAGTGCCCAGAACTTCTCCGCTTCGCTGCAGCATAATCCAGCTCAGGGAGATGCCCTTCATCATCCATGTGGCCCAGCCCCAGGCCATGGGCCTCTCCTAGATGGGGATTGGATGGGGAGCAAGACCAGCTGGAATCCTGGGGTGTGTTCTGACACTGCTCCCTTGTTCCACAGCCCCCATCTGCTGCTGTGGCTGCAGCCACCCACCCACTATGACTTGTCCTCAGCCCTAGTTGCCAACACCAGATACTTTTTTGTCTGCCACCCTCCAGTCTCCCCTCTGCAGCTGTCCTTCCACACACACCCACACCTCACAGACTCTGGCCCCAAGGGCCACGGGTGCAGTTGCTCTGTGGAGTTCAGGGGAGAGCCGGTCCTGCCTGACCAGGCTGAGCAGAGCCCCCACGGTGCCTGACAGCAGCTCAGCACCCTGGCTGCTGCACCCCCGCGGCTCCCTGCGGTGCCTCCTGCAGCTGAGGAGAGAAAAATCCCTTCCTGCATGCAGAGTGCTCCGCCCCCCTCACCCTTCCTTGGGATCTCACAGAACCACAGACTGGAAACTGTCTAGTTGAGCCACCCACCTAGAGCTGAAATTAATCCCTCTATAGCAGCATAGGCAGGTGGGTGTTCTGTTTACACACTCCTAGTGACAGAGGGCTCACTACCTTATTTTCCTGGAAAACATTCATTATTAGAAAGTCTGTTGAGTCAAGATTCTGTCT